TGGGGTCAGGATATTCCTAAAAATTGCATTTACTTGCCGATTTGGCTCATATTTTGAACATTAGTAAGCCAATTGAAAAGGAATATTTGGACTAAAAAATTACTCGATAGGAGGCGCTTGGGTCAGGATATTGTCAAAAATTATTTTACGCTAAGATAAGGATAGATATGTACTATATATTTGTGGACGTATGTATGTATGTGCCAGGCTGCAGCCTAAACGGTTGGACAGCATCGAATGAAATCTTGGCAGAGTATTGCCATCACACCTGGGCTTATAATAGGAAAAAAAAAACGGAATTCGACAAGGGGGCGTTGCACCTCCCATAGGCATGAAATTTCATATGAACTTGAAATTTAGTATGCACACACAGCTACGGTAGGTGCTTATATTAAGGTGTATATGAATGAGTTTATAAAAGGGGGCGTGTCACATCCCGTAGGCGTGGAATATGATGAAATCTGGAAATACGAATGCTGGATTTCCACTTGGCATTAAATTTAAAAATATTCGTGTCGTTACGTTAAAAAAATAGTCATTAAATTCATTTCCACATGGCATTTTTTAAAGGCCTCCAATTTTTTGTCATTTTAATGCCTAGTGGAAATTCGGCATAGGTCAATATTTGGGTATTTAATATAAACACAAAATATTTAATTATACCCATCACTGGTGAGTGTATATGTACGTACATTAGACCGCAAAAAGCAAACAAAAAAATTTCCCCGTAAACGCATGAGTCTAAAATATTTTTGCAAGGCACTTCCGGAAGTAAATAATAAAAAATTTTCCCCGCTATAAAAATAAAAATAATAAAATTTTTGAATAGTTCTGCTAGAATAGTCCAAATACTTTGTTACCAAAAGCTTTATGATTTCTGGTGGTTTTTACTTTACTAACATCAGGCTGGTAAGTTAGGGTGATAAGAGCTAAAATCTGGTGGGTAAGTACTAGGACGGCTCACCTAAGGTCAATGAACTTTGAAAAAAAAAAACGTTCTACTCGAGATAAGAAAATCGATATAACACAGTTTAAGATCGGAATATAAATACCAAATATGTATGTTTATGACGAAAAATGTACAAAGCCAATCTCTAATCTTGAGCAAAAAAAAAACTACATATTTCGAAATTGCCTTCCAAAAACGCGTTAGGTACGAAGGCACGTTTCTAATGTGCATATACATACATATAAATGTATTTGTATGTTGTTACAATATTGTTTACGAATTACAGTATTACATTACACTTTGGCTGGCATAATTTTTCTTATTAATACATATTTCTATCCTTTCATTTGTCCTCCCGCCCAGCTGATGGTGCAAAAATAGCAGTTGGGCACGCAACTCGAAAGTTTGCTAGCAGCAAAGTATTATTGTAGTAAACACATAACAATACAATGAACATTGAAAAAAATAAATAAAATGACAACAACAACATTGCCATCACTTTCATGGTGCCAGTATACAGGTTGGCAGAGACAAGCATGAGTGGAACATTACTGGAAAATGGTGACTATGAAATTGAGCGGTGCAGCAACATTTTCAAGCCACTTACAAAAGGCCAGTGTCATGCGGGGGCTGAAGTACTTGCCCTTGTCGTGTAACTTGCACACAATGCTGGCATTTCTTGCTCTTCAACGTAACTCTTTTCTGTCCCTTAGAAATGTTCTGCTCAGCTTTCACTCGCACAAGCCTGTGGCCCTTAGTTTGTTAGTTTTTTGTTTTTCTATTTTT